TTTTTCATATATTCATATATATAATATATATAAATATATGAGAAATTGATGTGGGTACTCAAATGAAAGGTCTTGATGAGTGTAACATCGGGATGAGCTTATATCTTCAAAAATGTCAATAGTTCACAAGATACAAGGTCATTTCTTAATTTCTCTTAATAATATAGATTATTTAAGTTTTTTATTTGAAATTTAAATTGCGGGTTAAATATTAAAAATAAAAAAAAAAAGGGTAATAATACTTTTTTGTAAATAATTTAAAATTCTACAAAAAAAGGTCATCAATTATATTGTATCTCGCATTTTTAAGCCACAATATAAATTTTTTATTATTAAAATAGTTCAATTATTTATGTCTATAATGCGCATCGTTAAAATAATTATTTTTCTTATTAAATTTAATATGATCTGGACATTAATATGTAGGTCGCATTATCACGTACTTAAACCACTATTATTTAATTCAGGATAATAATCATTACCAGAGATATGAATAAATCACGACTCGACCGATAGTCTGGTTATTTTTTGCGAATTACCATTCGATTCGGAGGTCGCGGCAACAATGAATAAAATAAATGAAAGATGATAAAAAAAAAAAATAGAGTAGTCTGACTGGTGAAAGTACGAAACTACTTAATCAGTGCAGAGTGATAACAGTTGCAGTAGCATCGGTTATAGTCAGCAGAGTAGAGATTTAAATTGATTTTCGTTGACAGCAATTTGTTAACTCTCTTCTCACACTATTCGTAAATTAAACTTTTCGATAGGACCGAATATACCATACTCGTTCGTTCTATTCGACGAGCATCACAAATATGTACATTCCACATCGGTTCGGCTCTCACATCACTAAATTAGTATCGCGCTACTGCGTTCAATTGATTTATAGTTTTCATTTTATTTTTTTTCCACTCTTCTATCCACCTAATTTAGATTTCTTCTCAATTTTTTAAAAATTTTCTTCTTAATTCTATTGCGGAATAATTTTGTTGAGAAATTTCCACTAAGATAACGGGATTTCGTAATTTTAACCCAAGCGGAGAAAATAATTGATAAGTTAATCGTAAGTTGAGCTTGTTGAGTTTGTCTAAAGTATTTTCTTAGCGGAGGACTTTTTCCGCTGTGATTGCACCTGCATAAATACCCGATTATTATATCTATATATCTATAAAATTTTTATCTTTATTTGTTCTATCGTATCGTAATATTATAACTGGGAGCACGTGTAGCCTCTTGGTCAGCACGTGAATTGTTTTTTTCCAACTTGATCTCTTATCTATTTATTTATTTATTATTTATTCTTCCTATTATTTATTTTTGCAACTGACAATATCATTAAAACTTTTTTTATTTAATAAATTTTTATATTTTATAATAAAAAATATTATCACGTATTTTTTAAAATTATTTCTTTTTAACTTATTATTTTTTTTAAATTAAAATTAAAATTATTTAAATAAATAAATTAAAATTGACATTTAAAATTTTTAATTAAAATTATTTTTAAACAAAATTGTAAAACAACCTTTTAATTTTTATTATTGTAAAAAAATAAATATTTTTTTGCAAAAAAATTAATTTTTTTACATAAAAAATTTTTATTTAATATGTCGCAATTAATGTAAACTAAAAAATAAATAGAAAATAACTAATAATAAAAGTAAAAGTGATTTATTTATTAAGATAACAATGTTTGCAGATCTAATACAATGTATATTTAAAAAAAAGTAATTAAATATGTTCTCTAAATAATAATTATTATCACCAGAGACTTTTAACAAGTAGTTTAATTAGATCGATTGGGATAAAAATAATAAATAATGTTTGATCACACTTGGAACGAGCCTCCTTCACGTGCCTGCAATCTTTCCCAGCCGCAATGACCCTCGCTTGTTCATTCGATAACGCGGACTATTATTATTAGTTTTATCGTCAATTTTCATTGCAATTCCGCGCTGAAATAATTCAAACCGGCAAACAAATTAATGTATTCTTCAAGGTGACCCGTTTGGAGTTTTGAGGGTCACTGATTAATAAAATGATCATACAATCTTGTATTATGCGATTATCTAAATTGTTTAAAGTACCTATTAACATTGAATTGAATAAAAAATATATAATATTTCCTTGAACCTGAGGGCGGGTGTTTGAATCGGTGTTATCAGTCGCGGGGGACAAGTCGCTTAATTTACCTAATTTGCGAAGCGTAAATAGATACAGCTTGTGCAAACCCCCCAAGATATAACATTAACATACATATATTGACCATATATCATATATCATATGTGATATGTCTTTAATAAATGTATGTTTCTATTTTGTGGGGATTTAGAGTTGTGTATAAACAAAAATAATAATAATAATAATAATAATAATAATACTTAAATGCGCGCGCAGATCCCCGCTTTTTCCCGCCAACTTCGAGTACTATATATGACGTCACCATTATAGGTCGGGACACTCTCAACTCAAGCTGACAATTGCTTTCGGAAGCTGAGGAATCATCATCTTCATTTTTTCACGTTTTTATTTCTTCTTTATTTTTTATTTTATTATTTTAAATTTTAATTTTAAAATTAGTGATTTAGAAAAATGACGCCTACTAATAAAACTTCGGGTTCACTTGAGCAAATGTCTAAAAATGATACTTTAAAACTGCGAGAGCGACACATTGGGTAAGTTTTTATTTATTTATTAATTTATAATTAATGTAAAAATTATTTAAAACCTTAAAAGAAAGAAAAATTGTAATTTTTTAATTATTATTTATTTATAAAAAATTACATAAATTAATTTTTATATTTTTTTTATTAATTTTTATTTATAAATATTTTTTTTTTTTATTTTTAAAATAAATGAAAAAAATATGAAGCGATTATCAGGAAAAAATAATCAAAATAGGATCAGAGATTTACGAAATTTATTGGAAGCATTATTATGGTCGAGTTGATAACGTTGCGGATGACGCCGGTAGAATCGATCATCAGTATATGTATAGAGAAGAGAGGTCCCGCAAATTAGCATATTATCACTGGGATAAGTGAGAATTGGGTCGTATGTGATAAAATGTCACGAGCATATGATAATTCATATAGGTATAGAAACGCCGACAACGATATTCCATATCCCGTTTAGTTCCCGTCCATGTGTTCCTATGTATTCGAGCACACGAATATAATTCGTATATTACATAATGATCAGTAGATGAGTAAGTGTGAGTGTCTACTCGCGCGGTATTAAATTGACGAGATAGCCGAGTCTAGGTATATATAGAACTGTATGATATAGTGAGGGACTTATAAATCCCTCATTTAATATAAAGTTAACCCGTTAAACCGACGCATTAGCACTTTGGGTACTTAAATCTTCACTTGGACGTTACGTTGCCTTTCGTCTTTCGTCTGGTATGATATCACATGGGAAATCATTATCGTCGCTACGTGACCGAGCTTTAAATTACTGGGGAAATATTCCATCATAACAAACTTGCGATCTATGGCTGACATAAAATGATACTTGCGAATTTTTATTTATCTATGTTATTAAGAGAATAAGAAAAATTTTTTTTTTAGGATAGTCATATGATAAAATTGGTTTTTTTTAGTAAAATTTAGTGTCATTGTCAATTTATTATGATAAGTATTCAGGCTGCATTCGAAAATGCTCTATTTCTAGATACATAATTGAAAAATGACCATGTATCTCGTGAAATATTGAAATTTTTAATGATATAAGCTCATCCCGATAATGTACTTATCAAGACCTTTCATTTGAATACCCACATCAATTTTTCATATATTTTATATATTTATATATATGTATACATGAAAAATATATGAAAATGCATGTGGGTACTCAAATGAAAGCTCTTGATGAGTGTAACATCAGGATGAGCTTATATATTTTTAAAAATGTCAATATTTAAGAGAGTACAAGTGCAATGTAACAAAATTCATTATTTAATAAAGCAAAATTTTATTTATTTATAGTTCACAAGTCACGGCAGTTACATAGTGAGTGCAAGGTTGCTAGTTATGTTTAATTAAAATTTTTTTTATAATATTTAAAACTTATAAAAATATTAAATTGATTTAAGAAAAAAAATTTTTAATAATTTATTAAATAAAATTTTTTTTTAACATAAATTTAAAATAATGATTATTAATATAAAATAAACTTCAAGGTAATCGATATCAAGTACGGAAAAATTTCATCAGATAAAAAGAATTCGATAAAAACTTTGTATTAAGTAATCGCGATTAGATTTTTTGTTGGTAATTATTCAGAGTGGATTAATTAATTAAAAAAAAGAAATAAATAAAATTGATTACAGGCAATCGTGTAAGCTTTTTTATCGATCAAATCCTTTGAAGATTGTGAAAGCATCCGGACAATACATGTACAATGAACGAGGAGAGCGTTATCTCGACTGCATCAACAACGTTGCGCATGGTAAAAATTATATTACTATAAATATTAAGTTATAAAAATTACTTACTATAAATAGAAAGTATATAGTAATTATTAAAAATAAAAAATTTTCAGTGGGACACTGTCATCCGGAGGTAGTTAAAGCCGGTCAGGAACAAATGGCTCTTCTGAGCACCAATAATCGGTTTCTGCATGACAATTTGGTAGTTTGCGCCCAGCGATTGACTTCGCTGCTGCCGGAGCCGTTGTCTGTTTGCTTTCTGGTGAATTCTGGAAGCGAGGCCAATGATTTGGCCCTCAGACTCGCTGAAGCTCATACTGGGAACAGAGACGTCATTGCTATCGACCAGTTAGTTTAGAACTATTATTTCAATTAAATATAAATTAAAGTCTACTGGGCCTTGATTATTATCATTTTTCACATTTAATATTCTTAATTTAGTATTCTTAATTAATATAAAATAATTTAAAATTAAAGTTCTTATTAAAGAAATAATAAGAATATTTTTTTGTTAAAAATTAAATATTTTAAAAAAAGTTTTTATCAATTTTATCATATCTTGCGTCATTAAGCAATAATAATTAATTTTTAATTATAATTTTTTTGACAATTCAATTTATAATTTAAATTATTAAATAGAGTTTTTTATTTTTGAAATTTAAATTGCAGCTTAAATTTTAGATACAAAAAAGTAAGAATACTTTTTTGTTAAAAATTAAATTTTCTAAAAAAAGTCATTATCAATTTTATTATATCTTGCGTTTTTTAGCCACAATAATAATTCTAAATGCGCACTTTTATTGTTATTATTATTTATCTGAACAAATCCGTGGGATGTGAAACAGATCTAAACAATACTAATACCAGGGTTATTTTATTTTAGTTGTTTACAGTACTGAGTTAACAGTCTAGGCACGAAAGCTCGAGGATTCAAGGTACACGTCTTGTTACTAAAAACGTACCAAGTGCGAGAGAAAGGAATCCCCGTATTACTTTTTCTACATTGCCGGAAGTCTATCATCCACATAATCCTCTTGTCATTTCAGGTGACACAAGATTACGTACGTGGGATGTATGGACAAGCATTAACAGATCTGATGAAAATTGAAAATAAAAACAGCTAGTAAATTTATTTTTAAATTATTCCGGACCAGCAGACTTTTATTAAGCTTAAAAATATTTACAACTGATAGATTAAATTAATATAAACGAGAAAAATGTCTGATTTTAGCGCTTATCACGGACACTTGACCTCGCTGATCGATATCTCGCCCTACAAGTTCAATCAACTGGAGAACGGAAAGAAGGAGTGGGTACACGTGGTAAGAATCCAAACTCCCCTCACTCATACAATTTAATCAGGCGTCTTTTAGATTCCATCCTTTTATCCTTGTCCTTGTTTTTTTTTTTTCCTTTTTCCGAGCGCTTCACAGTTTCTCCAGTTGTTAAATTGCGATAGATGTAATAGAGACCAACTAAGTGGTGATTGTTAATCCCCTGCACGCACTAGAGCCCCAACACAGTCTCAGTCTCTAAAATAATTATTTTTTGTTGAACTTTTTTGTGCTTCCTCTTCCCCAGGCTCCCTGCCCGGATGTCTATCGCGGAAAATATCGAGACGTGGACTATCCGGAGGAGGATCTCGGAGAAAAGTACGCTGAGGACGTTAAGAGGATCTGCGATAATGTTAAGTCTCAAGGACGGGGTATTCGCGCTTTTATTGCTGAGAGTCTTATATCTGTTGGCGGGCAAATTATTCCGCCAGTTAATTATTTTAAAAATGTCTATAAGTGAGTTTTTATTATTATAAGTTGAAAAAAAATTTATTTATTCAACTCAGTACATTAAATATTTTTTTTATTTAATTTATATCATTAAGAGTAAGAAAAATTTTGTTTTGATAATAAGTATTTAGGCTGCATTCGAAAATACTCGATCTCTAGATACATAATTAAGAAATGACCTTGTATCTTGTTAAATAATGACATTTTTAATAATATAAGCTTATCCTGATGATACACTCATCAAGACCTTTCATTTGAATACCCACATACATTTTCATATATATTTCATATATATGTATATATAATATATATAAATATATGAAAAATTGATGTGGGTACTCAAATGAAAGGTTTTGTTAAGTGTAATATCGGGATGAGCTTATATCTAAAAAAATGTCAATAGTTAAGAAATTACAGTGCAATTTAATATATATATATATATATATATATATATATATATATGAAAAATATATCAAAATAGCATGTGGGTACTCAAATGAAAGCTCTTGATGAGTATAACATCAGGATGAGCTTATATCTTTAAAAACTTTAATATTTAAGAAAGTACAGTGCAATTTAACAAAAGACATTATTTAATGAATTATTTATTAAAAAAAAATATTTGATATTATCTAGGCACGTCCGTGAAGCGGGGGGTGTATGTATCGCAGATGAAGTTCAAGTAGGATTCGGCAGAGTGGGATCACATATGTGGGCTTTTGAACTTTACGGCGAGGAGGTAATACCGGATATTGTAACGTTCGGTAAACCAATGGGAAATGGGCATCCTGTAGCAGCAGTCATAACAACTCAGGAGATTGCCGCCAGTTTTAAGAGTACCGGCCTCGAGTACTTTAATACCGTAAGTAAACTATAACAATATATATTTATATACACTGTATTTTATCGGGATCGTTTCTCTGCTTTCATTGGCATTTAAGACTGACACTATTCACTAGCTACATCTACAATAATAATAATAGTAATAATACTAGCCTACTTTTCCATCGAGTTTATTGTCAACCCATAAACTCCGGCTTTACAGCCGATAATTCATCAATTTATTTATTCATTTATCCTTCTTGATAAATAATAATTGTTAATTCCTATTCTAGTACGGCGGTAACCCGGTGTCGTGTGCGATAGCGAACGCAGTGATGGAAGTAATTGAAAAAGAGGGGCTTCAAAAGCACGCTGCTAAAGTCGGGGGTTACTTGTTGAGCGAATTAATTAAATTATCTCGAAGACGTACTATTATTGGAGATGTACGTGGTGTTGGATTATTTATTGGAATAGAGTTGGTACGTGATCGTGAGGAGCGAACTCCCGCGACGGCTGAGGCCAAGCACGTCGTATCCAGAATGAAGGACCAGAAAATTCTTGTGAGCAGCGACGGCCCCGATAATAATATTTTAAAATTAAAACCTCCGATGGTATTCTCGATTGAAAACGCGGATCACTTTGTTAACACCCTCGACTACGTCTTGCAGGAGGTCCAGCTTGATATCGATCAGGTACCCATAACCTGTAATATTTATTTCAATTTAATCTCAGACTCGATATTTAATCCTTCTTATTATTTATTTACCAGGTAATCGAGCCGAGGACCGCGATATTGGAGGCAGTCATCTCTAAGGTGGATATCGATCCCTCGATACCGCGTCCGGCTAAATCCGTCGCTATTCGGGCGAGTTAAGAGACACTTTTTATAAATTTATATATATTTTTTTTATTGATTTAGTGTAAATAGGCTTGTAAATAATTAATAAATAATTTTAAAATAATTGACTTATTGAAAATAAAATTTTTGGAGAGAAAATTTATTTATTAAATATCACCTGTAATATTTCCTTAATAATTTACAATGTCAATATTTTCTCATCCATTATCATCAGTCTTCATTATTTATTTTGCTTGTCATCATTTTTCATGAAGAAATTATTAAATAACTTGATTTATTGAAATTTAAGAGTTGTAAAAAATATAATTTCAATTGTTAATTTTTATTCAAGGCTACAAATCAATATTCATTAACAATTAAAAAATTTTAATTGCTAGCTATATTATTAAGAGAATGACGTTGTATCTCGTGAACTATTGATATTTTTAAAGATATAAGCTCATCTTGATGTTACACTCATCAAGACCTTTCATTTGAATACCCACATCAATTTTTCATATATTTTATATATTTATATATATATGAAAAATATATCAAAATAGCATGTGGGTACTCAAATGAAAGCTTTTGATGAGTGTAACGTCGGGATGAGCTTATATTTTAAAAAATGTCAATAATTAAGAAATGACCTTGTATCTTGTGAACTATTGACATTTTTAAAAATATAAGCTCATCTTGATGTTACACTCATCAAGACCTTTCATTTGAATACCCACATCAATTTTTCATATATTTTATATATTTATATATATTATATATATATATGTATATATGAAAAATATATATGAAAATGCATATGGGTACTCAAATGAAAGCTTTTGATGAGTGTAACGTCGGGATGAGCTTATATTTTAAAAAATGTCAATAATTAAGAAAGTACAGTGCAATTTAACAAAAATCATAAATTAATAATTAATAAATCTTGTATAATTTTTATATCAAAGTTAATATTATAAAAAAATTAATAATTAATTTAAAAAACACATTAATAATTAAAATCCATTAGTAAAGTGTAAAAAAGAGTAAGATTATTAAATCCTCACTTGTTCCATAAATTAATAATAATACAAACGATAAATCACTTGTATGTCTAGATTATTCATAAACCAGCTTATTACTTAACCGGATTTGAATAATAGAAGCAAGTATTAAAGAAATATTGTACCATAGAATAATTTATTAACATATAAATTTAATATCTGAATGTTGAAGTTAAAATTCACAGAATTTGGTTGATGAATTCCGAACAAGAAGACGAGAAGTAAAAGGTAAATGCAGAATTAAATGAAAGTCTGCGGAAAGTAGAAATTAATAAGAGAGTGAGAGAAACAGCTGTCACGAAGGTAGTCTCTAGAAGGTTAATCTTAATGTACAAAACGTTAACTAAATTCGGTGAAGGAAGAAGTGGGCTTTAATCCTTTAGGAAATTTAAATTATTAAGACAACTCATCATTCCCGGCTGAGATAGGAGATATCAGGGACTCTTACACTTATTTATCTTACAGTCTGGTTCTGTTGGGAGCTTATGTTTCTCATATCAACATCAGCCGAGTCGTGCAATATAAATGCAGCTCTCCTCTGTAGAGGAAGAGATCCAAGACGCAAGACGTAAAACTGAGATTACATTTATAACAATAAACCCCTGGTGTACTAGCAGTTACCAGGATAAAATATAAAATTTCGCGCTTACCTCCAGGTGCTTAAGGGATTTCCGGTATTACTCAACTTGAGATAGCTTTGCTTTTCATAAATGGCCCTTTTTTCCCCAAAATTACTCACACAACTTTTATTTTTTAAAGCCTCGCAAGAGGAAGAAGAAGAAGAAGAAATAACTTCCAGGATTGAATTTTCTTCGAGAGACATAAAACATCCGGAGAACTTTCCCGAATGAATTTCAGTCAAACATTTGCGCAAGTAAAACTCCCGGAAAGTTTACCAGGACAATGAGAAAAGCTTATAACGTTGTAAGTACTGCCGGGTTGTTCTTGTTACAGACTAGAACAGATGGGCAAGCCGCGAGAGTGGCAAACACTGTAATCAACGATGAAAACGCGAACCTCTGTCGGCTATCAGCGATGAGAATACTCTTGTACTTGCTTACTAGCAAAAACTTTATAAAGGAAGTATTTTTTTTTTTTTTTAATAAAATTGCTGATCATTAGACTTGGATATTTCGTTTAATTTTATTAAATTTAATAAAATATTAAATAAATTGTTTTTTTGTTCGGAAAAATTTTGTAAATTTTTATTTTATAAAAAGAATTTAAAAATGTTTAATTTAAATAATAAAATTTGCAAAGTCGCTTATTAAATTAACGTTTGGAATGTTTGGAATTTAATAGCCGATTTTTATTAAATAATTGCAAAGAAAATGATTAAATTTTATATTTTATATCTGAGTAATGTTAATTATTAACTATTTCATAAAAATGTTTTAATTTTCGCTGTGGTTGGAAATAACATTCAAGTTATTCAAGTTTAATATTAAATTGAAACTAGCAATTCACCAACTGTACTCGACTTGCTCGCCGCTGCGTTTAAATAAAATTACACTGTTAAAGTATCGACTTCTGACCAATATAGCCCAAGAGCCTGATAATAATTCTCGAAAATTATTAATCGTAAAAAAAAAAGCTTAATAATTTTTCCTTTCAATAATTTACGGTAAAATTGAAAGGTCGGGAAAAAATAATAGTGGTATTAATAGTTTAATTAAAAAAAAAAAACTCGAGTTAATAAAAATGCTCTTGAAATAAAAGAGGATAAATATAATAGAGTATACATTTGTCTGTTTTCATATCAATGTCCACGGGAATAGTCAATATATCGGTAAAATTACCTCAAATATATTGCTCTCCAGAGGGTCTATCGTTTTCATTCGCTCGATATATTTGATGAGTAACAATTTAAAATGCATTGGACATTTATTAATGCCGGCTCACCGCCAATGTGCGTATTTTTATCCACTAAACTTTTAAATACTGTTTGTAAAGTTATTTTGGGAAAATAAAATATTAAAAGTGCTTTTTTAATTTAAATTAATTTTCAATTTATTAAATAATAATTTTTTATTTAATATATTATTTAAAAATAACATTTGATAAATTTTTTAAAAATAATAATTAATAAATTTATTCTTAAAAATTAAATTAATGAATTAAAATATTAAATTTAATTTTAAATGTCAATTATAAAATTTTAATATTAAATAATTTGAAATTCTGACAATAAAATCAATATAATCTAAAATATTCAACATCTTATTACATGCGATGATAATTTAGGACAACAAATGTCTGTAAAACGTCTTTGCTTCGTCACATATTGGAGATTGTGGCAAGTTTAATCTTGTACTTGACATATTGTAGCATTGTACTCTATTTGTATGCACGCCTGAAATTTATTTCAAACCCACATGACAACTCATGTCCATGAATTCAGGTTCATATGTGTATAACATATCATTTCTTCAATTTCACATAAATATTAAATTTACATTTTTTTACTAAATGAATATTAAATTGAAAAAAATAAATTCAATAAAATTAAAAGAGTCACTTTTAATATTTTAATAATTATAATAATAAACATAGTTATACGTTCGATTAAATTTGGTAATTGCCAAAATGTTAATATTTGCTCAGCGGCAGTAGTCTGGTTGGTTCATTATCGAAGTCATTGGTGCGTGATTTATCGCGATTGATCGCTGCTTCGTTTAAGCCAACAGGGACCAACCGTACCGATTATTCAGCAGCTTCCAAAACCTGATACGAGCTTTGATCCATTCCTATTGCCTTCTACCTAGATCGCGAACCAATGGAAGATAGAAGACAGAAGATGGAAGAGGCTGCCGTCCAAGGACCTTTAATATTACGCGGATCATTGCGTGCAATAATACGCTTGGGTTTGGAATTTATTAGCCATTTTATATGCAGTCTTACTTATATTCTAAGATATAATTTTCAATGCAATTTTATTCTGAAGACATTTTTTTAAAAAATTCAACTTCAACTCAATATCTTATACATTATTTATTTATTTTATAAAATAATATATAAATTTAAGTAGAAAATTTTTAATTTTTCTAAAACAAATTCTTCAATTTTACAGAAAAAAAAATTTATTTGAATTTTGAAGAGTTAAATTTAAGAATAAAAAAATTTTATTTGATTCTAGAATTCAAGAAAAAAATTAACAAATTAACTGTTTGGCCTAAAAACCATGTAGAGGGTGCAGAAAAAATTGAATGCGTCTATAACAATTATTACTAGCAACCTTGCAGTCACTATGTGAACTATAAATAAATAAAATTTTTCGTTATGAAGTAATGACTTTTGTTGAATTGCAATATATTTGCTTGAATATTAACATTTTTAAAAATATAAGCTCATCCCGATGTTACACTTATCAAGAGCTTTCATTTGAGTACCCACATGCATTTTCATATATTTTTCATATATTCATATATATAAATATACAAAATATATGAAAAATTGATGTGGGTACTCAAATTAAAGGTCTCGAAGAGTGTAACAGCAGGATGAGCTTATATCTTTAAAAATGTCAATATTTTACAAGATATATAATAAATTGCACTGTACTTTCTTAAATATTGACGTTCTTAAAGATATAAGCTCATCTCGATGTTACACTCATCAAGAGCAGCCTAAATACTGGCCACAAAATTTTTCTTATTCTCTCAATAATATAGATAAAAAAAAAGTTCATCTACTGTTTATAAAAAACAATAATCTAATCAACAGTTTGGTCCAAAAATCTTGTCCCAATTGACAAAATGGACCTTGATTTTTTAATTGTTTTGTAATTGGCGCATAAAGCGCTCAATTAAGATTTCTAGTGATTAAAATAATGCTCATGAGTAGCAAAACAATCGTCAAAGTGATAAACGGTGTTGGTAAATTCCTTGGCACTGGAAACGATACACAATTCCTCGGAGATTAGATCCGTAACCGGTATGCGGTATACGGCGTACATGCTCATGAATTTACTTCACTTCATTCAAATCCCGTGTTCTGTAACATCAGAATGATTTAACATCCCAGTTTATACATACATATATATATATATTACTACCTGTACCATGTATCACATACAGGCTTACGTGCCATTGAAATGATAAACCTCCTCGCTGAAAGTATCGACATCGGCACTAACATTTATTGCCATTTATTAAATCCCCAATAATTCTATGTGACTCAGTAATGTCTAGCTGGGTTTACGGGTTATTTATCCTCAATAGATTTTACCTGAAATACCGGATAGCTGTAAATTAAAACCTGCTTTTTAGTTTTCAGGAACTTTCGGTGTACAGCGGAGTCAAAGAACAAGTAAAGGCGCTTTTCTTCCAAGGGTAGAACGGGAGAAAGCTTTACGTTAATTTTCATGAATTCGTTCAAGAGGCCGCTGCGCTCTAGCAGGATGAGGAAACGTTTTCCCGACAGAAAAGCGACTGGAAACAAAACTTGGAGTTTAATATTAAAGTGGTAAGTAGCGAGCCCGTGTAAATTTGTCAAATGAGTTTTTCCTCCACTGTCACCGTTAATAATTAAGTGTAACTTACAAATCTTCTTTAATGCTATTGTGGAAATCTCAATTTTATAATTATGCTTACATTTTTTTTTTTTATTAAAATATTTTGTTATTTTTTTAACATAAAAAATTTTTTATTTTATTCCTAAATAAAAAATATTTATAAATCTTAGCAAAAATAAAAAAAAAAACCCTCAATTTTATAATTATCCTTACTTTTTTTTTTTTTTATTAAAATATTTGGTTAGTTTTTTTAAAAAATAAGAAAACTTTTTTTTTATTTTATTCCTAGATAAAAAAAATTATTTTTTTTTATTCAGAATAAAAAAAAACTCTCAATTTTATAATTATGCTTCCTTTCTTTTTTTTTTATTAAAATATTTGGTTATTTTTTTGACATAAAAAAAAAGGAAAAATTTTTTATTTTATTTCTAAATAAAAAATATTTATAAATCTTTGAGAAGAATAAAAAAAATCCCTCAATTTTATAATAAAAATTAGCTTTTTAATATTTTATATGAAAAAGAAACAATTTAAAATTTAACGCTAAAACTTTGAACTAAAAGAAAAGTTTGTAAAATAATCTTCAATAAAATCTATAGGTTTTTCACTCGATTGAAGCTTAAAGTTGTTCCAATAATTTAAATACCAAATTAACAATTAACTTGAGAACTTTCACCAACCTACGCTCTAATAAACTTCTGGCAGTTATTTAACTATTTTTATTACACTGTAATGCATAATAGAGACTTAAAATAATTATAATTACTAATGATTCGATGTGAAGATAGAATTTAATAGATAATTAAAAATAAATAAATTCTAGCGATGAGTAAAACTGGAGATCGTAAGTGTAATATTAATAGATGATTGCTAAATTAAACATGACCTCTTAATCCTTGTAGGCTTTATTATTATCTTGGGCCTGGGGCGAGCTGGTTGGCTTGTCACGTTCGGTCGAGTCGGGTTTGGTCGAAGATTCAGCCCGATCATACAGATAGCTGGTCCCTCTCATCCCGCCCGGCGGCACTGTGCTGTCGTAAAAATAATCTCGCGGTCGATAAGACCTGGAATATTGAACACAGGACAGGATATAATACAGGATATAATACAGAGACCGGCTCTGGCTAGATAGTTAAGCTTTAAACCTTAAACCTCAAACCCTAAGCCTTTCTTCCGGTTCGTTAAAGTGTCGTTCATCTCCCATCCGGCTCTGTTGCGTCACTTCTCAAAACACCGAGGAAAAATAAAAAGTCAACCCGAGGTTCCTCGCAAGACAAGACCGAGAGGGAAAGATAAATTAAACTAAACTAAACTATAGCACGAAGTTTTAGTTCACAGTGAACTAATAAAACGACGAGTGGATAAAATTTAGTACTAATATTTAATCCTCCAAATAAATATCAGCTATTAAAATTCATCGGAGCATATTTATCCGCTCGAGAAAATTTAGATAGTTTAATAAATAAGCGCCGGTACTTAATGTAATTGGATTCTGATTCAAAATCTGATTCGAGAGAAACTACACGTCATCTCGAAATGCAATATAAATTTATTCATACAGTTGGCCGATTGAAAATAATAAAAGAAACATAAATAATTACTCACCCTGGTTCTCGCTCTCGAGGGTTCAAGTCTTTCCAATTGTCTCTGGAATATATAATAGGGGAATTTTTTATTGTCATTTTTATATTGCAGATTTTAAAAGTTACACGCTTGGGATTTTTAACAAATCTAGTTCATTTTTTAACTTTTTGCTGTGAAAATCAATTATTTTTTTATAAAATTGAGAAGTTATTGCCTCTTTTATAATTTTTTTAAATTATATTTGATAGTAACTTTGCAGTCACTATGTGACTGTCGTAACTTGTGAACTATAGAAAATTCAAATTTTGATTTATTAGATGACTTTTGTTGAATTGCACTGTATTTTCTTAAATATTGACGTTTTTAAAGATATAAGCTCATCCTGATGTTACACTCATCAAGAGCTTTCATTTGAGTACCCACATGCATTTTCATATATTTTTTATATATTTATATATATATGTAAATATGTAAATATATGAAAAATTGATGTGGGTACTCAAATGAAAGGTCTCGATGAGTGTAACATCGGGATGAGCTTATATCTTAAATAATGTCAATATTTCACAAAATAAAAGGTCATTTCGTAATTATGTATCTAAAGATCGAGCATTATCAAATGTAGCCTAAATACTTATCATAATGAATTGACTATCGGTGTTACTACATCAAATTATTTTTTAAATAAAACCTAAACAATTTAAAATTCCCAAAAAATTTTTTCTACCAACATAACTTCTCGATAATAATATATTAAATTAACTCAAGAAATTTTTTTTAAAGAAACTTCCTTAAGATCTTTTACAGAAGCTTAAAAAATATTTTTTTACAAAAAAAAAAAAATCTATTAATTATAAAAAACCCCTTTTTTAGGCTTATATATGACCTTTGAATAAAATAAAATTCTAGTTACCCAGTGTCGCGATCTCGTCCAGGGGTCCTCCAAGTGTCTCTGTGTCCCATATAGTTCCAGGCACTGGCGTACCCTCTATCATATCCAGGTCCCCAAGTGCTCGACGAGTAGTGTCCTCGAGAGTCGAGACCACCTCGGCCAGGATGTCTATCGTACCAGTCGTATCGATCATCGTAGTACGGACGTCTGCGGTAGTTTCTTTCGTACGGGTCCCAGTTCTCATTTTCGTACCCACTGCAATCGATAGATTAATTTAATGTCATTCCGTTTAAATTGCTCATAATCATAATGATTATCACCGAATAATATTTAACAGCTTGGCGTTAATTCAAAACAACCTACCGATTGGGCTGATAACGGTTGTAGCGATCGTATCGAGGAGGCTCGTCACTGGGACGTCTGTCATGCGGCTCGTATTGATAGCCAGTATGGCGTTGATCCAAGTTGTCGTAGCCATTCCCGCGGTCCGCAAACCGATCGTAGTTGCGGTCGTATCTCATGTCGTAGGGTCGGTCTCGTCCCATGAGCATATCGTACCTGTAACACACGATCGCTTCATTAAACGCCCCATCAAATAGTTTGTAGAGTTATGTACAGTTATTATATTGAACAAGCTCCTAATTAAAAACTATCTACAACAATAATGATAATGAAGAGGCTCACCGGGTGTGGTAGGGCAGCGGTCGAGCGGGTTCAGGCCTGTAGGGCTCTCTGTCGTAATCGTACGGCATTTTCGGTCTGTCGTAATCATATGCGGGCTTGCGATCGTAGTCCAGAGCCATTGCAGGAGCCCGGGGTCTCTCATAATCATATCCGCGCTCGCGGTCGTAGTAGTCGTCATACCTGTCTCTGTATCTTCGGCTTTCTAAGTCATCCTCGTAGTAATCGTGCCTCATTCGCGGTTTCCACCTGTTAAAAATTTTTTTAATTAATTATGTTACTAATTATAAGAATAATTAGCAAACTTGACTTGTAAAATATAAATAAGGAAAATTTTGGTTTATTAAATAATGATTTTTGTTAAATTGCACTGTACTTTTTTAAATATTGACGTTTTCAGTCACGTCACCAAAATTTTTATTTGTCATTTAATTGCGTATTTATTTGATAAATCTTTTATCAGCTCAAACTCATGAGTTTAAAGGCCATGTTGTCTATATTTCTATCTTTTCATGAGTTCAAGTAGTGTTTATGTGTAGTTTCATTTATTTGAAAAATACTTTATGAATAATCATAAATAAAATAGTGATAAAATAATATATTGATAAAATTGAACGTTTTATCACTAATGAATGAATAATATTGACACGAGTATCATGATAATTAGAAGGTGGATGTTTAAATATTTCTCTGGAGGTTTTTTTTTATGTTTTTTACAAGCAAATAACTCACCTGAAATTCTTTAACTTCTTCGCGTAAAAACCTGTAGGCCTTCTGGGCATCTTCGTCTGATTCAAAAGTAACATACCATGAGCTATTGTGGGCAAACTCGCATGATATTACTTTTGGACACCCTTCTCCCGAGAACAAATTCTAATAAAAAGAAAAAAAATTAAATGTAATTAATTAGTTTAATAAATTATTATAATTATTATTATTATTACTAGCAATTTTGCTTCAATCAATAATGACTTTTGTTAAATTGTACTTTTTCAACTATTGACCTTTTTAAAGATATAATCTCATCCCGATGTTACACTCATCAACAGCTTTCATTTGAGTACCCACATGCATTTTCATATATTTTTCATATATCTACATATATATTATATATATATATAAATATATAAAATATATGAAAAATTGATGTGGGTATTCAAATGAAAGGTCTCGATGAGTGTAATGTCGGAGTGAGCTTATATCTTTAAAAACTTCAATAGTTCACAAGATACAAGGTCATTTCTTAATTATGTGTCTAGAGTTTATCATATAAATACTCTGGCAACAAATTTTTTTTTTGTATCTTTGATATTTAACTCGCAATTTAAATTTTAAATAATAAAATTCAATTAAATATTTGATATTGAATTAAAATTGGATTGTAATAATAATAATTACCCTCTGTAAGCAGGCGGTGATTTATTGGAATCACACGTAATGCAACGTTGCTCATAGTAAGCAGCATCTCGGTGCTCGGGCTCAGCCCTGACTCCGATGGCACCAGAAGAAACTGAAGAACCATCAGAACCGTATCTCGCCGTGTAATAATGCTCGGAACGAGCTTGACGGAACAAATTACCGAGAGTTGTGGCCACTAAGGGACTGGGCGTCGAGGATGGGGATGAAGAGGCCGAGATTGAGGGCAAAGATGATTCCTCTGCTCGGACGAACTTTATCGAGGCACTTATCAACCCCAGAAACAGCTGCAAGCATGAGTAGTAAAGTTATGCAATGAAAATTACTCGGTGAAATGCGAAATATGAAATATAATAAACGAGCTTGTAGATTAATATAATGTATGTATGTTATGGATGTAGGCGGTAGGGTAATTTTAATTTTTTTTCTTATGGCTCGAGTTGATGCCAAAGGGTTATTGAACGTGTCGGCATGAACACGCAATCAACCCGCACGAGCAGTAGAATGGCTCAATGCCGATACCTCCATATCCAGCGTATACCAGCAGCACAAGCAGCACAAGGTACCTAACCGGTGTATGAAGCTTTGCGTGAGATGCACAAAAGCGCAATTACGCCGTTAACGTGGGAAAGTTCAAAGCTTCCGGGTGATACTGAAGTGGTCGGTATTAAAAAGGTGCTCGGGACCACCATGGACACTCTACAGTCTCCAGTTCCCCTTCTATTCGCTGTAAGCTCACTCTAATGGAATTTTAATTCTACTCATTATTTTTTTACGTTAATAGTCACATCAACTTACACTTTTACTTTACACCTTTCATTTATTTATCGCTCGTTCGTTTCTTTGTTGCGTTTTCCACCTGACAGTTATTTTTATCCATTTTTATAATCTTTAATTTATATACTGATAGAAAAATTTATTAATTTAATTATTTAGAAACAATTGATTTTTTTTTTTTAAGTAGAAAAAATTAGTTTTTAACTTTTAATAATTTAATATCAAACAAAATATTTTATAAGTCATTATAATCACTCTTTATTATTTTTTTTACTTGTTAATTTTTTTTCCCAAGAAAAATTATTAATTTAATTAATTTATTGGAAATTTTTTTATCTTCTTAAATTATTTAGAATTATAAAAAGTGTTTAAATAAAATTTAAACACTAATTTTTATCAAAGTCTTTAAATAAATGTTTAAAAATATTTATTAGCTATCAATAAAAAATATCAAAATAATTTTGTCTTAAATAAATTTTTTTTCTACTCAAGAATTAATTTTTCCTGTAAAATAATTTATTAAAATTAATAAAGCTTAAAAAATTTCTCTTTTTTCGTCTTAAATAAAGTAACTTTAAAACTCGAAATAATTATTTAATATTATTCATAAACGACAAAATTAGAGATTAAATAAACCAAAGGGATTTATGAGTTATGAAAAAATTCTCGTCACCCAGAATGTGCTAATGGACTAGTCACACTCATTAGCATTTTATAATTAAACACCCGTTACAAGCTTCAGTGGAGCGCATAAAAATCGTGTCAGATGTCAGCTAAAACAAACCGAAAAAACAATAAATGTAAAAGTAAATGAACCCTTGAAATTTTTTCTGACCTCCTAAATAATATCTCACACTCGATTTGTCCGAAAAAGGTTCCAACAAACGCCCTAAAAATGATAGCAAAATACCAAAAAAAAAAAAATAAATTAATAAATAAAATTCGGGGTGTCACGTGTAAGTGAATTAAATTATGCATTCAGCATACAATCATGACGGTGAGGACGTTTTCTCTTATTCAGGTTTTCCAGCCCCAGCGGTTTTGCCTCTCAGTTATGAGGATCGGCATTATATTCCATTTGTTTCTTGGGTAATTCCGGGTACAGCAAATTAATAAAACGTTTGCGCTCTACAGCGAACCTACGAGACTCAATTAACCTGACAAAAGTTACGGAAATTTCCATTTAAATCTTAAACATTGACATTAATAGCGCGTAGCTAGCTCTATTTTGTCCCAGTCCCCTTTGGTAATTTCATGACCAGCAAAACAAACGGGCCATTGTTGCTCAGTTTAAATATTTATTTATTTTAGGTAATGTAGTTTCATTTAACGAACAATGTTTTCAGACGAGTGGTTTATCTGAAAGAGTTTAAGGCCGAACGCACACTGTCCGGTTGTTCATCCAGCTTTTACTTTTTCTAGCAACTGCCCCCATACAAACCGAACACACAACGTCCAAACGTGATTGTAGGCCTTTTGTGATGCTAAATCCTGCGGTTGATTAATGGGAGGACGCGCAAAACCCACTGTCATTACTTAGCATTTCAACAGCGCGTCGATCTCCAGGCAGACTTTATATTTTCACCGAAATTACGCGACTCGTGTTTCTCCAAACAGCTGGCAAAATAGTTAGTTCCTAATAATTATTTTTTTTAAAAAAAAAGCTCCTGTTTTTATTTCGTTAAAGCCTATATTTATGGAAAATCGATGACCTACATGCTGGTTGTCGCTGATACTAAGATTTTAATATAACTCGATGTCAATCTCCGGTACCTTTGTTGGGATTAACTTTTCGTCTATTCATTTTCATATTTTTAATATCAAACTATCGGGAAAGATTCATTTTTATGCAGCTCGCGGAAAGTGTTTTTATTAATTAAAACTTTATTGATTAAGCATAATATCTTATTACAAATTAAAAATATTATTTTGTTAAATTTGATCTATTGAAAGGATTATTATTTTTTTTAAATAAATATTAAACAAAATTTTATAAAAATTGTATTTTTAAAAGAAATTTTTCTCTAAATTATTTCCTAAAGGATCTATTAAAAGTTTAAAAGATTTTTTATAAATTAAAAAAATTTTTTAGGATGAATAAATGCCCAAAAAAAGAAGTAAAAAATTTGAGCTTTTTTTACACAGTTTTATTTTTAATTTTTTGTAATTAAATATTAGACAAAATTGTATTTTTAAAAGAAATTTTTCTTCACAGAATTTTCTAAAGGATCTATTAAAAGTTTTGAAGATTTTTTATCAATAAAAAACTTTTTCAGGATGAATAAATGTCTAAAAAAAAATTTGAGCTTATTTTTACCGAGCTTTATTTTTAATTTTATATTTTTTTATTATTTTAAAGGTTTGTATATGTCAGAAAATAGAACGCAGCATTTTTTGTTTGACGAAAATTCACTGAGCTGCTATTTAGTAAAAAAAAAAAAGAAATTATTTCACTTTTTAAAGTTAAAATAAAATATTAAAATTAAAAAAATAATAAAATAAAACCTGGCTAATTTAACACCGTTGTCCCGGTTGAAACTTTATCGATTAAATTGACTGAGTGAATAACTGTTAATGAGCAAATTTAACTAAGAAAATAACTTGCTCGTCAGCAAGAACAATGGGTAATTTTTTTTACTGCAATAAAATAAAAAGAATTGTACCGAAAAGTTTGATTTTAATAAATCCCGTGGAGCGCGAATTATTAAATGTAAAATAAAAGATATCAAACGTTGAAATAACAAAAGTAGATCGAGGAAAAAACGTTAACAAGAGCATAAAAATTTTTACTGCTCGTGAAGCTCGAATAGCGAAAATAAATCACTGTAGCAAATGAGTCCGTAGAATAAGAGAGGAAGTACCCGAGAGTTTTTTTCTTTTGTTATTTATTTTTTTTTTATATTATACAACTTTATATATATTATATTTTTTCCATTATCAATATTATTATTACTATTCTGTAGTAGGGTTTCGGCGCTCAAAGGACTCGGACGGCCATTAGTCGACAAAATCCGTGTATTCGCCGGCACAGGTGAAATAATAAGACCGGAAGTGACGTCATGCGAGTGACTAGTTGGAAAAAGAGTAAAGCTACACGTGCGTACAATGAAATAATTAATATATTGTCCCGAACGTGGTATTTTGCTATTGCTCTTACACCTTCATAGCACATAGCGTTCCTGCTATGCTGTTCACCAACTGATAGTTGACCTGACCATTATTCTCACCACAATGTACTTCCTTTTATCAAAACACCACCACCGCATTACAACACCAACGTAGTAAACACTCTCACCTTTATTCATTTCACACTTTTGTTATTATTATTTTATTTATCATTATCATAAAAACCACTTCTAGTATTTTTACCTACTTCATTTCCTAAATCTCGGACCCGCGCTTCCTCTTTTACCCACACAATAATTAATTTCATTTATCACCTATATTTTAAAAGAATAAGCAAAATTCTGTGGCTAGTGTATTTAAATGTTAAATTCTAGATACATAATTGAGAAATGACCTTGTATCTTGTGAACTGTTGACATTTTTAAAGATATAAGCTCATCCCGATGTTACATTCATCAAGACCTTTCATGTGAGTACCCACATCAATTTTTCATATATTTTATATGTTTATATATAT